TTCCTCAAGTCACATGTGCGCCTTTATGGCTTTCAGCAAAGGTGCCTGGTGATGGTCAGGAGCTGTCCCAAGCCCATGGCAACAAACATCAGCAAAGGTAAAGATTCTAGCAGGGTAGTCAGGTTCAGCCCAGCTGGACAGTTGAGACTCCACTCCCACCAATGCCATGGTTTAGGAGCAGAGTATGAAAACATCTCCATCCAGGGCTCATTCAAAGCAGCAATGCTCCAGACCAGCCCCTACTTTAGGTACATTCTGTATTCACACAATTCTACAATAAAGGTGATCCAACTATTTAATTTTAGAGGATGAGGATGGTGTGGAATGGTATAGGAAGCATTGCTCTTATTTTAAATTAGCTGCGATAATACCTACTGCACTATGCTTTCATGCCCTCCTCAATATCTAGTCAGAGTTAAGGAAATCACATATAGAACGAGACCAGTGTTTTATGATTTCAGGATGCAATGCCTCTCCTCTCGATTGATTTTTGTTGATATGGCAACTCTGGTGGCTAATATTTCATTAGTATGTCATTCTATTTGCTAAAGTCTAAATCATACATTGAGAAAGAATTCCCTTATACAAATCCTGATGTAACCACATCTGTTTTCTTTGTTTCTGTGTACAATTCTGGTCAATGAAGCCCAAAAGAGGTATTCTAGCTGTGGAAAAGGTATGGAAATGGTAGCCAAAATGGCTGGCACAAATGTCCTACAACAAAAGTTACAATACTTGAAGATGATTAGCTTACCAAAAAACAAAAAATGACATTGAATGGGAGATTCATGATAGATTAAAGGATGCACATGGCACATAACTAACTCAAGAAATTCACTGCCACAAAATATTGTGATGACTGTCAAATGTGATGGCCTTAAAGGGGTATTGGATATCTTTATGGAGAATGAGTTCATCCATTAATACTAGCGAGGGTGGCTATATATCATCCCTGGTATCATTATATCCATCATGGGGAGCACAGATGGAAGGTGCAGAGGCAATCAGCTTCTCCTAGAAAGCTTCCCATAGCAAATTCGGTCATTATATGAGCATAATAGAAGAAGCCTATTTGCTTCTGAGCACAATTCATGGTGCTGGCTTTAGCCTATAAAGCCCTAAACGGTTCTAGCCCAGTTTACCTGTCCTAACGTATCTCCCTCTATGAGCCATAAGGATGTTAAGATCATTCAGGGAGGCCCTGTTCTCAGTCCCACCCCCTTTGCAGTCGCGACTGGTGGGAACGAGAGACAGGGTCTTCTCCGTGGTAGCCCCCTGACTGTGGAATTCTCTGCCCAATGAGATTAGATCCACCCCTCCCTCCTGACCTTTAATAAAAAACTGAAATCCTGGCTGTGGGATCAAGCATTTGAACAATAGATGGATCAACCGGGAAGATAATTTTAGTGGATTGCAATTGTATGGATCTGGATTATGAATTTTAACTGGCAAACCGTTGTAATTGATCATTTATAATTGTTTTAACGGTTTAATTGTATTTATTATTTTTCATTGTATTGTGTCGGCCTCAAATGGTTGCCTGTTGTAAGCCATCCTGAGTGCTTCTTTGGCGGTTGAGAAGGACGGGATATAAATGCTCGAAATAAATAAATTGGTCTCTCTCATCTTGTTTTCAGATCCTTAGCTCATGGAGAGCCATACTGAATCTGACCAAATGCCTATCAAGTTCATTATCTGTTCAAGGGTTGACCAGGGAATCATTAAATTCAATTAAAAACACGTTTCCCATTTAAGAAACAATAATCACTGCATATCCTTCAACTCCAGTTAAAAATGCAAGCTTTTTTCCAACCAATGAAAAAAGAGCAAAGGAGGAAAGAACTGAGCATCACTTAAGAGTGAGTTCAAACCCCTAAGAGCAGCCTGTAAAGAAGGCTCTCCCCCAAGTCCTCACCAGAGAAGACTCTGAAGATGGCAGAAGGAAAAGCCTTTGCTGAAAATTGTAAAACTTGAGAAGACTCCTATGGGGATATTTCGGATGTTTGGATATGAAAGCAACAGCATTCTTTTACTCATGCTCATATGCATACCACCTCTGATAGGTTAAAACTAACATGAAATGATCCATATACAGGTTGAGTATTCCTTACCCAAAATACTTGGGACAAAAAGTGTTTTGAATTTTGGA